GTTGGGGAGATTGAAATGCAGGGTTTTGAGCTTTTGGGTTGCAGATTTTGGCCTCATTTGCTTGAACGAACTGATGAGAGTATTGATTATAAGCAGAGCAAGGAATAGAGACGTTTACTGAAGAAGCAGAAGCAGAAGCAGAAGCAGCAGCGGAATGAAGTTGAGCGATCTTCTGAACAGCGTCTCTCTCGAGGGAATCGAGTTCTTCAGGCGTCAAGTTCCAGTCATCATCTTCAGCTCCAAATTCCATTTTTCTTGGAGAAAGGCGCGAAACCCTTTCTCCAATTGCTGCTAGAGTCTCCGATGAAATAGAATCTCTTCACGCGCCAATTTTGAAGTGAACTTCGGGGCGGGACGGTGTCGGAATGATCTTTCCCGTTCGTTATTTTATGGGATTTTTTCAATTCCTTATATTTCCATATTTCAAAAAAAAAAAAAAATATATATATATATATATTTTTTTTTTTTTTAATTTTTTAATTCTATTTGTGAATTATTATTATTATTATTATTAAACAATAAGCTTATTTTCGAACGATCAAGTAAATATTAAAATATTATTTTAAGCGGTATACAAATATGATTTATTAAAACATCGTTTAAATCTAGCACAAAACGTACTCCATACACGATACTGACCTATAACTATTAAATAAAGTAAAAAAATTTATCATACGTCAGTGAAATTTTGTATCCACATAAATTTGGTGGGTATGCTCGTAATAGTTTTCACAATCGAACTTGAAAATCTCGAACAAATTCGTCAGGTATATCATCTAATTATTGTTAATGTTATTAATGGGGAATATTTATGAAAAAAATTTAAATATAAAATTTCACAAAATAATAACTCTAATAATAAATAAATTTAGCGTATTTAAAATAAGCTTTTTTATTTTTATTTTTATTTTTATTTTTTTAAATTAGCACCGTGTCGTTGATGTTTTTAGTTTTCTTAGAACCCTAAACCCCCCGAGTGGTCACCTTGCTGCCGCTCTCCCTCCATTACACTGCGTACAGAGAGAGAGAGAGAGAGAGGGAGAATGAAATTCCAGTGTCTCCGAGATCGGAATCTACTCTGAAACTGAGCCAAAGCTTCGCATTTTCTCTCTTGAATCTCCCCATCCAAGCAATCGTTGCGATTGTTCTTCACCATGTCGGCTTTATCCAGAGGTCTCATTTCTCGTTTCCGTCTTCTGTCGATCAATTCCGGCGCTTCTCCGACAATTACTTCTTCTTCTTCTTCTTCTTCATGGACGCATCCGTCTTGTTATTTCTTCTTCCGTACTTTCAGTACCGAGGGTTCGATTCAGGCCGGCGATGGCTCTTCGCTCTCTTCTCCGATTATTGAAGCTAAATCTGGTGTTATGAGCCCTAACTCGAAGCGTACAGGAGTCATTGCTGTCAAGTGTGGAATGTCGGCGCTGTGGGATAAATGGGGAGCTAGGGTACCCATCACGGTGCTCTGGGTTGATGATAATATTGTATCTCAGGTCAAGACTATTGAGAAAGAAGGCATCACAGCTCTCCAGGTACTGTTTAAATATCTTCTTCTCGTTTTCATTTCTGTCAGCGGAGTAGTTTTTGTATATTATTCTTGTGAGCACTGCTTGGATGAAATTAGGAAAGGGATATTGTTGGCTCTGGTAGTTTTGGTTTCTGAATGGCGTGGGATTTTGGCCTAATGATGCCGAGGAGTACATTTTTGGAATACTATTTGCTATGTTACTCTCGCTGTGATAGGAATTTGAAGCTGTTATTCTGTTACTCCTACACTTCTAATTCCATGGATTGTGGAAATATACTGAACTGAGCTGCACACTTTTGTTTTGGATCAGCATTTCACTATGAAGGACATTCAGTCTATCAGAACGGAAGTTATAAGAGGGTATTTATGCATGTCATGTCCTTTATATAGAAATCAGAGGCCAAGGGGTCATTCTCTTGACTTGTACCGATCAGAATTTGACCCCACGAGAAATTGAGCAAAAGGCTGCCGAATTAGCCTATTTCTCGCGTGTACCAATTGAAGTTTTTTGAAAAATGAAGTTCAGAATGAATGTTTTCTTAGTTCGTAGCAAGAGGGATAAAACTTAAATGAAATAATAGTCTTTTTTATAGACCATATGAGCTAAAGCAGACGTATACAGAACAGACAGAAAACTGTCATTGTCCATAATTTTTTGGCTTCCATTGTTACACTTACTAGACATGATTATAACCATTTGTGACCTTTTTTGTTTTTAATAACTGGGTTATTGAGGGCCAAATTCTCGTATCAAACTCATTGCCTACCTCACTAATGTTTGGGAGGCAACAAGAGTTTCGATTATTACTTACACTTACTATTGATGATTTCAGCATTTCTTGACCATTAGACCATATGTATGAGATCTCTTTTTTCAGTTCTTACAAATTTTATGGCATAGGACTTGCATTTATTGACCAAATGTGCTATGCTATGGTGCTAGTTAGATTGGCTGTGGACAGAAGAAGGCGAAGCATTTGACGAAACCCGAGTTAGGTCATTTTAGGGCTCAAGGTGTTCCATTGAAGAGGAAACTGAGGGAGTTTCCAGTGTCAGAAGACGCCCTTCTTCCAGTTGGTACGACAATTGGTGTTCGTCATTTTGTCCCTGGACAGTTTGTTGATGTGACAGGAATAACAAGAGGGAAAGGTTTCCAGGTGAGTCCATTGCAGCATTCCTTCATTAATTTTTTAGCTCACAGCCTCTACCCTTATCAACTTTTATTCCTTCCTTGTATTTGTTAATATGGTTAAGTTAATTGCATATTCATAGCACTTGAATGTTATTGTGAGAACATTGACTTGTATAAATGCATCTCTCTCTGTAGTTAAGTCAAAATTACCAATTAAAAGCTGTTTAATGGTAATTGAATCAGTAGATCTACAAAAAAGAACAGCAATATCAAGTCTAAACTAGTGGCAAATTTTTTTAAAAAGTTCTGCAATTTTTTTAAAAAGGCTGTTTTCTTTCCACATGTAAATGATGTCTCTTATGGCTAATCTTTTTTCTTATTGTGCACAGGGAGTGATGAAAAGGCATGGATTTAAAGGAATGCCCGCATCCCATGGAGCATCATTATCCCACAGAAGCCCCGGTTCTACAGGTCAGAGGGATGCCCCTGGAAAGGTGGGTTTATCTTTTCATATCGACACTCATTTTTTAGATCGAGTGGTATTTCAGTTCTCAAATGTATTTTAAGGCTACCCAAAACTCACATCTGGTTGAAACTCGAGCATTGAAGATAGCAGCGAAGTGGTAGGGTAATATATCGCGCTAGCCTACTTCGACATAGGACTTCGATTCTTGAAGTTTAGCTTCCTTTATTTTTCACGCTGTCTCCTTCGTTTCCTGTCAATTTGCAAGGTTCCTTCTCAATGAATGAAGATTTTAGAGTAGAGAAACAAGAATTTGAATGAATCAATCTCGAGTAATTACTATGTTGTAATAGAACACGCTTGAATTGTTTTTTTAATACCAACTTTATCTGCAATAGAATTACTATGTTGTAATAGAACACGCTTTGGTTTAGTCTGATTTATTTCTTGAATCATTTCTATGGTTTGTTAGGTTGCGAGTTCTACTCTGTTTCTCTGTATACCATGTCGTATACGACTGAGAAACATGTTCTTATTTTCCAGGTTTTTAAAGGTAAGAAGATGGCTGGTCGTATGGGAGGGAAGCAGAGAACTGTGAAAAATGTGTGGGTCTACAAAATTGATCCTGCGAGAAACTTGATGTGGGTTAGAGGGCAAGTAAGTTTCTTTCTAAAACCAAATTTCAAACTCTTGATCTGATCCATATACACATAAATATGATACTCTTGTGACATTGTGGTCTGACATTATTTGCTGCACAAAACCTCTCCTTCCAGGTCCCGGGTGCCGAAGGAAACTTTGTATTTATAAAAGACGCCTTCTACAAGAAACCCGACAAGTCTATCCTTCCATTCCCTACCTACTTTGCGAACGACGACGAGGACACTGAGACGTTGGAACCTCTCGTTGCTGATCTTGGAGAAGTAGATCCATTCATGGTTGGAGAATGATAGGGAGTTGGGCTTTTCAGTGCAAGTTCTTCGATTTCGCTCTGTTTTTTTCGATCTTTTCAGCTACTGATGACCCTTTTTCGAGTAGAAATGCAGCTGGAGGTTCTGTATGAGGCAATCCAATCTCCTTATACGATGGGAATTTACCATTTACTTTTCTTTCAACTCAAAACTTGTACCGGAAAATGCCATTTTGAAATAAAGGATAGAGAAAAAGCTCTGATTATTGAGGTTTTTTGTTGATGTTTATGTGAACTTGGAGAAAGAGATTGTTTATGGCTGCCATCGCCTCTCTTCATTTGAACTCATTTTCATAATCTCTTTATTTTAAATTCTCTTCTACTCTATGAAATTTCAACTATAGATTCTTAAAATTTTGTTGAAATTCCTCCACCCCACCTTAAATTCTGTTTCAACTTCAACTTCTGATACCAACTGTACGTTCAATCATTTTTCTCGTCTACTTCGAGTTTGTTGAATCTTATGAGGAAGACTTTGTAGTCCAAGTCAATGAACCTTTCCTCGTCATCATTGACTTCATTGTCCTCTCTTTTATATGGAGCGTCGACAACATTGATCATGTCAAGGCTCTCCATTGTTGTTCTTGGCAACGGTGGTTTTGTCATGTGGGCTATTAAAACCCTAAATTTTCACTCTAGAATTGATTAAGTTTTGTCGAATTCATCTAATAGTTATAGCCCGTCAAGACACTTCTTCAAAACAGTCTCACCACCAACTCTAAGAATTCGAGCTTTCTTTGAGTATTTAGGAGGTTCGTAGTAAAAAAAAATTATTACCCATAGTAATAAAATCTAAAATAATTTAAAATTTTAAAACAATAAATCGATATTCTCCTCTAAAAGAGATATAAAAAGAACTGAAAGATAAGTTTAAAAATTGGAATTTTAGAAGAAAATCAGTCTAAACTTATAAAAGACGTTATTCTGCGCACTGAGTTCAAAATTCAAACCAAGAGAGCCAAATCGCCTTTCTTCTTCTTCTTCAGGTCAATCTCGATTCCTCCATTTTTTTCTGAGGAGGTTTCTCTCTTTCTTCTTCAAGGTTCAGAACCCAAAGCCTCCTGTCGTTCTGATTCTCTCTCCGGCTCCGATTCTAGGGTTTCTTTTCCGGCGAATGCTGTTCCTCCTTATCCGATGCAATCCAATTCCATTTCTCATTGCCAAGAATGCGGCATCACTCAATCCGAGTGTTGGATCCTCCACAATGTCCGTGTCAAAGCGTCCTTCCGTCGTCTCTGTACCAATTGCATCCTCAGGAACAATATCTCCCGTTTCTGTCCCGTGTGCTTCGATGTTTATGACGATTCGACTGCGCCGCCGTCTCATCAGCGAGTTATGTGCTTCAGATGTCCTTCGATCTCTCATCTCTCTTGCATTTCTTTTCGTTTTTCTTCTACCTTCCTTTGCCCTCTCTGCTCTGATCCTTCTTTTACCTTCTTCGACTGTTTCGGCTCCGGCGGCCTTGGCCTTTGCCAATCGGAGTACGCCGTCGCTACTTTGGCCGGGAGAGACATTAGTGGTAAATCGGCTAAGGCGGTTGTCGCAGCGGCTCGTGTCGCCGCTCAATCCATGCGGCGAGCGGCAGCTGACGCTAGGGCTGTAGCGGAGATGAAGATCAAGAATGCTGCGTTTGCTAAGAAACAGGCTACTCTCGCATTGGAGCGGCTTGCTTATCTTGAGCTAGAGGAGAAAGATGGAAATGAATATGGTAATAGTAATGGAGATGCTGTGGCCGGTGAGATGACGGTGGAAGAACACAAGCTGCAGGAATGGATATCTTCGATTCTCGAGCCTAAGACGCGGAATCAAACTCAGTAGCAGCAGGCTAAATCGATGGGGAAACCAACTGTAGAGAATAATTCAGTAGAATGCAGAATCGCTATATAGTAAAACCATCCATGGAAGCCTCTGAATCAATGTAGTGATGGTTTTTCCAGATTCATGGATATGGCAGGAAAGATCAGTATGAAAGGATTTCCATGTACATTCCAACATTGTTTGCTGAAATGATATTGAGAATGAGGCGCCCTTTTCTGCTTCTCCAATTCTTTATTTTTTCCCATTTTTGTGTCTGTAAAAGAATTCCAAAGGACTCGTCGTATAATTTTGGATGAAATATCAAATTTGAAGATTAGGGTAAAGTATTGTTTTCCTCTTGAAAATTAAAAAATCCGTTAGATGAACACAAAAAAACAATGAAATTCGGAATCCCATTTCACGATTAATCGATAAGAGGAAGGGTTAGAACATGATTCGATAGAAGATATAGAGACAACCTAAAAAATCAAAGAAAGTGGAATGGATGATTGTTACTCTTTAAAGAAGATCATACTCCTTCCTCAATCAAATCATTTTCTTTATTCCCCCAACTTTTGAGTTTGCAACCCACCCTTCAATCGTCGAAAACTTCTTAAACAAATAGATACATAATTAAAACTAGCCACTTATATATTATACCCTCGTTCGTATACTCACTACAAGAGTCGACATAATGATTGTTAACAACAAATTCAAACGTAAGAATACAAAAGAAAATTAAGAAAGTTCGTGCATAATGGAAGAGATGTTACAAAATTTGAGCAAGTTTCTTAGCAAAATTCAGCAGATCTCCCACAGTTGATGAACTCCCAAAAGGAATTAAGGGTAAAAAAAAAAAGACTATCTTTGCTCTTTATTGTGAAATGAATGCTGAAAATAAAGATAACCTTTCATGGATCAAAGACGGCAAAGATTACTTAGTGCCCCTAAAGAAAGGTTTGGTTCATCCAACAAATACAAATTTGCATGACTTGGTTGGTTAAAATAACTGTCCTAAGATATTACATTCAAATCAAGATCAAGAGCCCCCATAACAGCAAGTTTCCCATACTCCCAACCCAATAACATCTCTATTCCATGTAACAACATTTCACTTCCCACAAAATCAAATGGATTCATCATATAATTCTCATCTTTTTATATGAGAACGAACTTCCATCAATATTTCCTCTCTTCTTTCTCCTTCCTTCCTACCAATTCATGTTCATATTTAGATATCACTACTTATTGTGGCTACCAACCTGCATACGACCGCTATGTGACAACCTTGATGCAAGTAGCGGTGCCTCTTCATCGACATTCATATCGGACGAACCACTTCCGCCGTTGCCATTGTTGCTATTTGGGGTGAATATATCTGACGATCTCTTCTCTAACTTCCAGTCCTGTACCATGCATCAAAGTTTCAGTTAGGAAAATATTGGAAGGTAGGTCAAGAGACAATAACCAGCTGATAGAAATTACATAACAGACAGACAAAAAAAGCACGTAAGTTAATCGTCTGCATTTGTACACACACCGACCCCAAACATCATCGTCCCTCAACAAGGACTTTGAGATTTCTGAGTCTTTAGTGAGTTTTCAGAAAAAAAGTTTGCAGATTGTTTGCAGTTCAACAGTCTTGTCTTACAGACTATATCCATGAATCTACTGGGCGAAATCATCCAAGGAAAGAGAAGAGAAAGCAGCCCTCTAAATAATAGCCAAAAGAAATATTCATAAATTGTATCTATCCCCCAATCTAGGTGTTTAACAATTTATAACTGCAGGTCACGGTTTCTAGAACTATGGATATGATATATCATGAAAACTTGCAAGCACGAAAAATTTAGCATAAGTTATAGCTCGATCAACTTTCAAATTCGAAATATAGGATGTCATTAAGGTAACATTTGCATCCAGCTCCTCTAATAAAAAAAATGTATTCCCCCAAGAAACATAAATTTCTATTAATTGAACTAAAAAAATACAATGATGAAGGATTCCCATCGATAAGTACTGTAAACAAAAATACGTTCTCACGCAGAACAAAAACAATACAATCCACCGACACTCTTAGGAATTCTATTCTTTTCCAACAATATTTGGGAATTGCAATCATATACATCTCATTTCCATGTAAATCATGAAGTGAAGCAAGCAGCAGGTAAGAGTTTAGTTCATAATTCCGCTTGACCTTAATAAATACTTCACATCTCACATTAAGAAAAAACTAAAGCTCCAAAAGGAATTATATTATCGATGCAGACGACTATGATGGCAAGAAAATAATAATAATCATTCCGAATGTATGATAATTCTTCCGGCCTCTGTAACTCTAATATTCCTAGCTTATAAAAACAAGAACAGATGCAATGATATGGAAATATGGAACGTTCCCATCCGCCACTAGAACCTAAGCTGATACTTAATAGTGGTTTGAAAGATTTCATGTATATATATTTTAAATTATTAAAATTGCCATGAGATATAAATAATTGAGAGCAACCTTTACCATTCTCTCTGGAATGCTTTCAGAAGACAATTGAGATGCACGAACATCCTTGACCTTTATGTAATTGTACATGAGGACGCCACACAATGCTGCATTGAGACAAGGATTGGTAAATTGAAGATCATAATTAGTAACACATAATAGGAAAAATCCTCCACTTGACAAGGATTACCAATTGCATAGCCAATGATATTCAACCCTGTTATCGTAGATTCAGGAAATATAACAGTTGAGAGTGCTATTAGTATCCAGTCTTTGAGAACACCAGCAACTCGAATGGTAACAGCTCCAGTTCTTCCAATTACTAAAAAAATAGAGAAGTTCAATGCCAAGGCACACAGTGCATTCGAAAAGAAGATCCAGAAGTTGAACTGAATTTGAGTAACTTGCATATTTGGTTTCTCCAACAAGTACCAAGGAACAAACAGGAAAACAAAGCTGCATGTATCAAACATAAAAAGTGAGCGGCTAAGGCCATTGACCACTATTAAATTAGAATCTGTCTTTTGTCAAATTTACATCATTTTCCAATAAGTGATTGTTACTCGTGACCAATCCGAAATCTTAAGAATCCATTGACAATTACACAGATATTTCCAGTCAAGAAGCACCAAAGTACACTGTACCTGCATGGAGCAATGTAATATAAGCTGGTGATAGGATTTAGAGTCAAGCCCTTCTTTTGCAGAAGGACCTGCGTCAAGACCAGCCGGAGTGCTTCTGCAAAGATACCCGTGACCTGGTAAACTGTACCTACTACATTAAAATGAATCTCTCCATATGAGGAAACGACAACCCCAACACTGACCAGCAACATGTTGAAGAAAACGTCACACCTTAACTTGTCGGTGCCACACACAACAGCCATTAAAAACGTGGCTACTGGCACTGAAATATCAAATTTAAATCTAATTATTTTACATTTTTTAGGAGACTCATTCGAAAAGTAAGAAAAAGAATGAAGTTTAGCCTCCATACTTAAAGCCTTAAGCATCTGAATGAAGGCCACAGATATGTGTAAGTAGGCAGTGTTACCAAACCTGAAATATCAATAGTTAGTAATGCTAAAATTATTGTGAGCATGACGCACAGTGCACTGGTCCCATATCTGATAAACACCATTTACAAAACCAAAATACGAGACCCGTGCCTACTATACAAAACTCTTTAAGTACTATTACAAGAGGTCTAATTTTACAACTTTACTTACCAAAGACTTGATGCAAAAAATGCACTAATTGGGATGACACATGTTGCATATCTGTCCAACAAAAAAAATATATATTATACACTAAAAAACAGATAGATATTATACCCAAGAAAAAAAAACCCTGCAAACAGCAATTATACCACAGCTTTTCTTGATGCACTTACATTTCAAAGGTCATTTTGACTGGAGATACAACCTGCAGATTTGAAATCAACATTTAATGACTCTAGCTACCAAAATTTGAAAAGAAAAGATTAACCCAGCAAGAGAAAATGGATGAATTGGGATAATCCAAAACGTGCAAGATTTTTATATTGAAGCATTGCTGCCTGCTAGTAACAATTAGTAGTCGGCACAGACGGAGGATGATGTAGAACTTTTTAATACTTTCTCTGCAAATATGGTAAAAAAAGGCTATCTCTAAGAAAGATAAAAGAGACAGTTACTAAAACCCAATTTAACAGGCATCTTCATATCAAGGGAACAAATTGACAGAAACAACCAGTAAATTGAAGAAAGTCCCTTAAAGTCATATATTGAGTTCATGTAAAATCATACCTTGAACACACGAACGAGAAAGAATGCAACAGCACCAGAAAAGCCCATATGAATCATTGTAAGGGTAATAGGCAAAGGAAAATTGAAGTATTTAGGGGAGAGCACCCACTGCAATATTTGAAGGGCAAATCAAAACAAGCATCAGCAGAAAGGCAACAACTAAGCAGTAAGAATGGTAATGAAAACTGGAACAAATTTCAAATCTGAATTAAAGAAAACAGATGTCGAAATACCTTGTTGTACAAAATAACTCCAGATGATAGCAAAATGTAGATGAAAAGATACAGGTAAGTGAGCACAAGTGGTCTGTTGATCATTTTGGCGAATAAGAACCTTCGCTGGCTGATCTAACAGATAAGTTCCGGCAGTTAAACTATCTTTATCACCTCTGTCTATGATCTGAAACTGAAGATAGAGGCATCTTCTATCTAAACTCTGCAGTCGAATTCATCTTCTAGGCTATACAATAGGGTTTATCGGTTCCACCGACGGGTGCAATGCCTACTGTACTGTATATACATGCAGGATAGCGCCTGAGAAGACGAAGCCCAGATTCATACAATAGGATTTAACTATTCCAACAAGCAAATCCCAGATACATTACATTCAAACCATCCAAAAAGGCACTGAGAGTTGAGAAGTAACACGATTTGCCAAAATCATAAAAAATCAACAATCAACCACGCCAATAAGAAAGAATCGCGTACAAGAACCAAATTCGGACAATGACTAGTTTATGATGAAAAACTGATCCAAGTGGGAAATATAAATAAAACCCAAAATTCGAATAGATCTGAAAGAATGCAGCACAAACAAGAGACAGAAATTCAATTGAAACACAAGACAAGACGCGGGACGCCAAGAAAACGCATCACAGAGCAGAACACGATGAGATACGAGAGGGTGAAGAAGAGGAACTTACCGAAACCGTGGGATCGAGGCGTAGGCGGGAATAGGAAG